CTTGGTTGGCGGTACACACAACTCTCGCAGCACACAGGATGGCCGTCGTTTCATTCGGCTCAACTGTTTTCAAAGTGGCAAGTGGTGAGGCTCGCCTGTTGATGGACCGAGCCAAGGTCATATGGACCGAAACCAAGAAGGAAGGAATGCCTGGAAGGACTGTCACCATTGCCAAGGAGGTGACACGTGACTACGGCAACAGGTTTGTCCCCTTTCTTCGGATGGTCCCGGTTTCCTTTGAGCTTCTTCACTAGTTCCTTCACCTTTTCCGCCATCGGCTTGGGGGGAAGTGGGGCAGCTTGAACCAGAGGTTCGAACTCGCCGTAACGCCGCATGTATTCGGCAAGCCAATTCTTGAAAGATCGTGCATCATTCTTGTACGCACGGTTCTCGTGAAGCTACATTAGTTCGCGCACACGCTTCTGCACAGCAAGTGGCGTGATGGCCGCCATCAGGGAATCCACAGTCAGCTTGGGTTCGGTCTCGGCGAAACCTTCCATGTTTAGACGGACAAGCGCAGCTTCAATGTCGCTCACCAGCTTGGAGACTCGCGATTCGGCTGAGATGATAGACCCGTCCATCTTAAGCTTCCCCTTAGCTAGGTTGAGCTTAGTCATGTCCACTGGGTCACCATTTCGGGCACTCAGGAAATAATCACGCCAGTCTTCATCATTTAGCTCATGGCTCGGCTTCAATTTCCCAAAACGCTATGCGTTCCACCGCCAGCGGGTCGATACAGCCGCTGAGAGGCATCTGACGAATTTGCTGCCCACCAGGACGCTGTGCATTGGCCAGACGGATCTCACGCATGTACGCTTCATACTGGTCCATGAACCGACGCTTCTGCACCTTCGTGCTTCCATTAAACGTCGGGGCTTTGGGCACCTCTTGAAATCCGTACACAATATGCACACCAACAGTCGCCGGGGCTTGGACAGTTTGAGGGGCTGGGGTCGCCGTAAACGCATGCCATCTGGCGCTCGTACGTCGCCGCATGTCTTCCAGCGCTTCCGCTTGTAGAATCGATGATGTAGCAGCCGCTCGTAGCCCTTGGTCGTGGTTCTCAGTGGTACGACGCTGGGCTTCCAGCTGAGCCATCAGTTGGTTCTGCTGGTCACGCTGCAATGCCAGCTCAGCCATCAGTCGCTGGTTGAGTTCCATCTGGGCATTGGCCTGCATCTGTTGCTGTTGATGGAGTGCCATCAACTGTTCGTAAGTGCGTTGGCCTTGGGCCCCAACAGCTTGTTGCACAGTATCGCTACGCGACGCCTGTGCGTCCACAGCTTGGCCCACCTGATGACGCAGCTGCTGAACAGCCATGTCGGGAGGATACTGGGCAAACGGCGGAGCAGCGGAGGCGTAGACGGCCTCCTGGGATCGGGTTCGGGTCAGCACGAGGGCAGGACCGGTACGTAGCGACAGAGGGGTCGAAAGTGCTTCGTCCTCCATGGTCACAGCAAGGAAAGGGTAAGTGCGCGGCCTTGTCGACGCAGGCAGCACGCAGGGAACTCGGGCACGAAGTGTGTCCGCAGGAGCAATTCACTAAAGAATTCTTTGTTGTCGCTCCAGATAGGATAGACAGTAAGATGGCAAATTCCAAAGTGATCGATGAAGTTAGGTTCACAGTCGTAGCTGGCTAAAGGTCTCGAG